AGGAAAATGTGGACTCGAAATCTTGATAGAGTTTTGCTTGAGGATACTGTAGAATCCACAGTGTCCTCTTCATGGGTTAATCGAGCATCAATCTCTTAGAAGATACTTACCAACTCGTTATAGTAAGTTGGTAAGGATCGCCCACTCACTATGCCGAGTATTGAAGGGCCTTCTGTTCAGTTCAAACAACTGGGTTTCATCGGACCCATCATAGAAGGTTTTTTTCACTGCTTCCCATATTTCAGCCGCTGTTTGGAGACGAATAAATCGGCACATTAGGGTTGGATTCATTGAGTCAACGAGCCAACTCTTGACCCTATTGTTATCAGTGATCCAGGTTTCGATCGCCTTTTCATTCGTTGTGGGTTTCGCCGATGTACCGGTAAGAAACCCCGATTTGCTACGAGCTCTGATACACATCTCCATCAATTGAGACCACAAGGGGTAGTTTGTGTCATTTAGGATGACTCCGGTAGGGAATGGGGCGTCCTGAATGTTTTGTACAATCACAGATGAGTTGGACGTTCTTGAAGAGTCGCCTTCGTTTCCCATGGTCCTTTAGTAATCTGATGATTCGATGATTTAGGATCTATTCTGCTCTGATACCATGTAAAACTATGAGATCAGGAACAGATGTGGAGTAATTTTAAGTACGTTTTTATTGATCGGATGGTACATGTATATATACAATATAGAAGCTAACAAATTACCTACAATACAGGATACAACCATTAATCTAGGATTGGATAGAATTTACACAACAAATCTAATCTACTAAGCTCTCGCCAACAATATGAATTATATTTTCATGAAAAGTTAAATATTCTTCTACTTATTTTTTTCTATCCATCTTCTTAACAACATAATTAAAAATTTATTAATTTGATTAAATATGCCAAGTGTTATAATTTTAAATGTATAGAAATGTAATACGAGGAAAAAAAATAAAAGGATATTTGATTTCTCCTTTTTCATTATTTTTTATTGAGAACTGAATAAACATGCAGGATTATAAATATGTTGTTTCTTTGAAAACTTATAAAAGCTGCATGATTCTTGGAGTAAATTATAATCCTCGATGGGGATTGGAATCACATTTTTCCAATAATGAATCATGAAAAGATTTGAAAATGAAAAGCACTTTCAAACATAAACAATTAAAATTCCAGATAGTAAATCATGAAAATATTTGAAAAAGAAATTTTATTGAAAATACTTTCAGACATAAACAAGTAAAATTCCACCTACTGTATCATGAATTCTAACTTTATTTTTTCTATAATTATCAATTCGTCTTGTACGACTATGTTACTGATATGTACAACACACAAAATATAAAAGAATACGTTAGATTTTAAGCGTAATTTAAGACAATTATGGTGTTGATATTATTTGAAACATCATCAAGTGAAATTGAAAAAAAAATGGAAAAGGGTAATAATAACTTCAAGTTTGCGGGTAGAACCAATGTACCATAACGAATAGACATGAATTAACATTCCTATATGGAGTGATCCAAACATCACATATAGAAAAATAAAATTATACTTTTCAAATCTTATAATCATTTCTTTTCTTGCTTCGGTACAGAATTTTATTACATCTCATCTAAGGTAGTATGAGTAAGAGGATAATAATGTGATTGAAACTTCATTTGGATAAATTCTGTAAGTCAGTATGTTGTCGAATGGAAACACTTCTTGGATGACAGATTTTACAAAAGCTATTCGTACATTGTTGTTGTGATAAATAAACCATCATCTGATATCATACTAGATTGTGTTGGATTGAACACCACTTTGAAAGCCTGATGCTATATGATGTCTTAATATTGTGTTTCCAAAAGGGTTATAAAATTTGTCACAAATTTCTACATAGAGGGTTTTCTTCTCTATCGTTCATGATGCAATAATTGCACTTACACGAAATGGCTTTGTTTCGGTACATTTACCAAATTTCACCACATCAACATTTTGCTTAGATTTATGATATGTTAACTACGTTACTACCAAAGGTTACTACCAAAGGTAGAGGAAAGATTATGTGGTTGCCGTATCTCATCACTAGTTGAGTATGAAAGATGTTTTGTATCTCATTATTACCAGAGTATATATATATATATATATATATATATATATATATATATATAACGATTACATCTAGATATATTTTTTTTCTGGATTACTCGCAACTTTTTATCTAGTAAAAATCTAATTCAAAATCATAGAAGATCTGGTCGATCCATGTTAGACAGATCGGTTACCCGATATAACCAAATCGATTTACAAAAATCCGGATCTCAAAATGTTCTTTTGGTGGACTAAATGTTCGCCCACTTTTCCTCTCAGTTTGGCATTATACCTCGATAAGTCTAAATAATTATAATCCTCATCGAGCCTAAAATTTGAAGAGACAAATGGCGTGTTCGACAAAACTAGTTGTTAGCGGGTAGCTTGTAGCGTTTTGTTAAACGCTACATGAAGTAATATTTGAATTTGGAGCGTTTTGTTTAAACTAAATGCTAGAAGCTTGTATTGTCAAACGGGATTTTCTGTTTAAAATAGAGCGTTTTGTCATACGTTAGAAGCTAGAAGCTCAAAACAAAATCCGGCTAGGCATGAATGACTCTCTAACAATGATTGTTGGAGGGGCACTCATAAGAATTGATCGAATTTCATAATAAAAAAAGTCTGGACGCCCGTCTAAGCCCACGAGCCGGGTGCCCATTGCAAAAAGTTTAAAACCAATAATTTAACTTCAAAAAACAATTTCACATTTCTGTTAAAAATAATTATAAGTAAAGAATATGCTCGTTTAGAACAAAGGGAAAATTACTTAAGAGGGTAACTATCTCTTATCCGTGTTCACATATTAGCAACTTCTTCTTTTTTGTACATAATAAAACAACTAACTTGTTTTAACTGTTTAAATTACATCAATATTACCGACTAATATTTTTTTTAACCAGTAACTCAAAGGGAAAATGACTTAGGAGGGTAACTACCTCTTATCCGTGTTCACATATTGGCAACTTCTTATTTTTTGTACATAAGAAAGCAACTAACTTGTTTTAACTGTGTAACATCCCAAAAATCATGACCAAAAAATTTCTTTTTTAATTTAATACTAAAACCATAATTGTCAAACCATTAATTTAATACTTCGGCATCGGGTACCGTCTGGCATCGAGCCCCGCTCGGTGTACAAATATGTCTCTCTTAGGCCCCGCCTCTCTCCGGGACCCGCCCGCTAAACACATACAATCCTATAACATGCTAACACATAAAGAAACATACTTTACTGTATCCCTGTCCTAAGAAACATACTCTGGTAATAATGTGATACAAAACATCGTTCATACTCAACTAGTGATGAGATACGGGAGCTCGCCCACACTCACCTCTTTACCAGGCACATACAAGTATCACACATACAACAAGTATAATCTAACATGAAAACATTCCTCAGGCACCTGCCCGACATCAGACCTTGGTCTGGAATAACATACTAGCAAACAATGCCTATGGCTAACCCCCGAGTCTTCCTACTCATAGACTACATGGGCTGGCATTGTGGCCTTAGACCCATTCACACAGTGAAGAGAATCACCTTGCACTGCTGAAGCCCTGGCTGGAACTAGCTAAGTACGGACGCAGTTCTGTATCTCATTATTAGCAAAGTATGTTTTTTAGGACAAGGATACAGTAGGGTATGTTTCTTTATGTGTTAGCATGTTAGATGATTGTATGTGTTTAGCGGGCGGGGCCCGGAGACAGGCACGGCCTAAGAGAGACATATCTGTATACTGAACGGGGCTCGATGCCAAGCGGGGCCTGATGTCGGGCAAGGCCTGATGCTGGAGTATTAAATTAATGTTTTGACAATTATGGTTTTAGTATTAAATTAAAAACGAAATTTTTGGTCATGATTTTTAGGATGTTACACAGTTAAAACAAGTTAGTTTTTTTCTTATGTACAAAAAATAAGAAGTTACCAATATGTGAACACGGATAAGAGGTAGTTACCTTACGTAGTCATTTTCCCTTTGAGTTAACGGTTAAAACATGTATTAACCGGTAATATTGGTATAATTTAAACAGTTAAAACAAGTTAGTTGTTTTATTATGTACAAAAAAGAAAAAATTACCAATATGTAAACACAGATAAAAAGAATTTTCCCTCCTAAGTTATTATCCCTATAACAAATCTAGGGACCCTTTTTTCTAAATAAAAAATGTCTTCCTTCTAATTAACAATTCCAGGTTAGTAGAGACCTTGATTCCAATATCTTTATTTATATTAAAAGAACGTCATACAGTCTTATAAAATTTTGCATTAAAGTCTTCTATTTTGCTTTGAACACTCTGGAAAATTCATATTCCCAACCAAAGACGCATTCAAAAAAATCAGACTTTGAAAAGTCATGTAAATATGTAAATTAAAAAAATAATAACATTATTTGATTTTCAAATGGTCAACTCTAGGGTACCAAGGGTCATGAAATGCACCGCATCAAAACGACATCGTTTGGCCAGTTTTCACCACTAACAATGTCACTTTCCATTCTCTCTATCTCTGTTGGCACTGCCTCCTCCAGTTGATTTAAGAGCCTTGTACTCCCCCATCTAATCTTCTCTCTCATCTCTATGATCAAAAGGCTCTATGTTCAATCTCGTTGACCCAAATCAAACCCTAAACACTTTAAATCTGCAAAGAAGGAAACAGTTTCAAAGTGAATCGGAACTTCAAGATCTGTTCGATTAACTAAATCTCAGATTTCATCCTGTTCAAAAAAGGTAAGATCCGTTTTCCGTCTTTGGCTATCTATTTGATCTTCAAGTTTTCTTGAAATCAGTTGATAAATGATGGATTTTTTGCGATCTATTGCTTTCTGGGTTTGATCTAAAGAGGAGTTTTGTTGTTTTTGTTTGATTTGTTGCAGATCTGGTAAAACTATAGAGAAAATCGAAAACCCCATCTGTAAAAATTGAATCTTTAATATGTCAATCCTCTTGCCCAAAACCGATTCGGTTCAAATTAGAGAGGTATGGAACGACAATCTTGAAGAAGAATTTGCTTTGATTCGAGAAATTGTCGACGATTACCCTTACATCGCAATGGATACCGAGTTCCCAGGTGTTGTTCTTCGTCCACTGGCACAATTTAAGAATATTAACGACTATAACTATGTAACTTTGAAGGATAATGTCGATATGTTGAAGTTGATTCAGTTGGGTCTCACTTTCTCCGATGAAAATGGGAATCTACCAACTTGTGGCTCCGATAAGCCTTGCATTTGGCAGTTTAATTTCCGCGAGTTCAATGTGAACGAAGACATCTTCGCTAATGATTCAATCGAGATGCTAAAACAGTGTGGGATTGATTTCAAGAAGAACAGTGAAATGGGTATTGACGCAAATCGATTTGGAGAGCTCTTAATGTCTTCAGGTGTTGTTTTGAATGATAATATCTGTTGGGTAACTTTCCATAGCGGGTATGATTTTGGATACTTGCTTAAATTGTTGACCCGAAAAGAGTTGCCTAAATCTCAAACAGGGTTCTTTGATTTAATCAAGATTTATTTCCCAATTATTTATGATATCAAACATTTGATGAGGTTTTGCAACTCTCTTCATGGTGGATTGAATAAGCTTGCAGAGATTTTGGAAGTGGAAAGAATTGGTGTTTGTCATCAGGCTGGATCTGATAGTTTGCTTACTTCTCATGCTTTTAAGAAGTTGAAAGAAGGTTATTTTAATGGAAACACAGAGAAATATGCAGGTGTTTTGTATGGTTTAGGTGTTGAAGATGGTGAAAAGTAAGTAGGAAATGACCAAATGTAATTTGTGATATGTTGAAGTTTGTTTGATTTAGTATGGGAATGTGTTTCAATCTTGTGTACACAAATGGCGAAAGAGTTGTTTGTTTTATGGTTTTTTTTTTTTTTTTTTCTTCGGATCTTTTTATGTAACCAAATGCCGAAAGGGTCTTGTAGTTTGAGTACTGTAAATTATTACAGTTAGTGTTTTAAATAACAATCTTAACTTTTCACTATGTTTTGCATCTTCATTCTTGGTTTTTTCTTCTGTTATTATGATAGTATCAGATTCTTGACACATTTGGTGATGGATTCTTGATTAAGTTGTGATGATGGTGGTGAGAATGGTGGTTTGTGGTGGTTCTGGTAGGAATGCGAATGGAAATATGGTTATGATGATCATGGTGGGTGATGGTGTATAGAACCATAGTTATGAGTTATGACAATGGTGGTGCATATGGAACCTAAGCTTATTAAAAGTGTGTTTAAACTGAGTTAATCTATTTTGGTAAATAATTTATTATATGAGAGATGAATCAATATAAACACTAGATTGCATACTCATTTAGGTTTAATTCGAGTTTAAGAATAGCTTCTGTTATACTCATAATTTAATGATAGATTAGATACAACATATCATTACTACTAGTTTGAAAAGGAATGGCAATTGTGTTATATATATATATATATATATATATATATATATATATATATATATATATATATATATATATATATATATATATGTTTGAAACATCCCAAAATTTCAACCAACAAAAAATTTCAAAAACAACTCATTAACTAATAAAAGTATCTACAAAACAATGTTTTTCAAAAACACTATTAAAAAATGTTTGCCTCCCAAGATCGATTACATAAAATCTGGATGTGTACGGTCACACCTTCGCCTTGCTATGATTCTCTAAAATGTCTGAAACCACAAACCAAAAACTCTAAGCATAAAACATAGTGAGTTCCCTTAAAGTACCACAACACAAACAGATAACATATACCAATAAACAACGTGCATTGGATCCACAGCTAAAAGAATGGATTACCCATGAGCCCACAATATGAGTTTGACTTGCTTATAAGCCCCACAACTCATATTTGGTTTATTCCTGAGCCTACAACATAAGTCTGGCTTGCCCATGGGGCCCACAACTTATGTTTGGCTTGCTTTCTGACCCAATCAGTCATCGAACTAAAATACTCTCAAGCCCTTAGTACGAGTCTAACATACCACCCAATCCTCAGCTCGTATCCAGAATGCACCTGAGCCCTCAGTATGAGTATGGCATGCCCCACCCGGCTCTCAACTCATAAATGGAATGCTCTAGGGTTTGTTGGCTACAACAAGAACCAATACAACCTCAACCCAACACAATATGTCAACATATAACAGATAACAACGTATAACATATAATCATGCAAACAGAATCACAGGTAGTCCTACAGATTTACCAGACTAGCATATCGACAACTAGCATACTCATGCATATCTATTCCATACACAACATATCAGTGAATAACATGATATCAAACCAATGGGCCGACCTTGGTGCCTTCGATCCGTAAGTACAGTGAGGAAAACTCACATTGCACTGCCGAATATCATAGAAAGAATCTTTAACTGCTGGCCCGCAAGAATCCTTGCGCTATTAATCACAAGATAAACATCCATCAATAATCTGTTCTAACCCACACTAAGTGTCCAAACTAGGGTAAAAGACCTTTTCACCTCTTCAACTTGCCTAAAGCCAAGGCCCAGTCCATCAATCTAAAAGCCTAAATTCCCATTAATTACCCAAAGACCAACTATGGCCCAATTTTCCAAATTGGGCCCAAACCCTATCATAGGCCTTAAACCAAGGTCCAAAACATTCCCAGACCAAACACACTTGAATTCTGATGGCCCAACAAGCCCAAAGCATCAAAGTCCAAAAATGGCCCAAACCAAAGATCCATTAATTCGAGGCTAACCCTGTTGAGTACGTGGGGCGTACTCAGCTCGTACGCGCAGCGTACTCGCCTTAGGGCTTGTACGCTAAGCGTACTTGCTTGTACGCCCAATGTACCCTCACATATAGCCAACTTCCATTTTAAGTTCTTAATCCATAAAGATTTTACACCACAACCTAGATCTAACTTCCTTGGACAGATTAATCACATAACGTTACCAACTTTACGATCATGCATGGCTAAATGAAACTCATAAACTTTAAAAGGAGTTAATATACATATCTGAGGTTCCTACTATAAAATAGATTCGCAAACCATCTGCTACTGCCAACAACCTTTCACTTGAACAAAATGGATCGTGTATTCCTTTGAGAGAAGACTCATCCTGATGATAATAATTCCATGAACACAATGAGCTTCAAGATACATATTTCCTTAACTGGCGGACCGATATGATGCTTCTATAATTTTGAAGCCCCATAACTTGTCCGACATTCACACATGTAGAACTATTCCAAAGCAGAGACATAAAAGCCTTTTCTACCATCCGCACTGAAAACATCCAATTTTACTCTTGACATACATATTTCTTAACCCACATCTCACTGAAATACAAACCTTGCACAAATACACTCGTGATTCCCAACGTGAGTTTCCATCAAAAGCCAACTAAAAAATGGCAACTCATGAAATTTTCTCATAACCTTTCCCTAAGACTGATGATAATCCATTCATAAATTTCCCCCTAGTCCCTGACTGGAGACACCCCAAAAAACATGCAAAAATGATCCTCAAAACATGTCAATCGCAAACTTCACCCAAATCCTATTCCATATGATGCACCACAACCTTAAATGTCACACCCCCAAACCAGAACGGCGGAAACGTTCGGGGGCGGAGGACGTCATGTCAAGTATCATAACAATTGAATGGTAAAGAAAGTACACACCACCATAATATAAATATATTTGAAAAGTTTACATGATTGTATGTGTTACATGTTTGCAAAAGAAATCAAATACAATATGGTGTCCCAAAATATGTTACTAATGCCAACGCGTTAGTCTTCAAAAGTAGTTGCTACCTGGTTTAGCGGTTTCCTGAGAATACAAGTTATTTCAAGAAAAAGTGTCAACATTTAAGTTGGTGAGTTCATAAGTATTGTTTTGAGGAAATGTATGCCATTCGAAAGTGCGTGTGTGTTTTCCAGAAAATCCGATATTTTCTTATGAGTGTATGAAATGAATATGAATGATTGTTGTATAAATTGTATGTATTTGAACCAGGAAAATCCCTTATTTTCCTAAAAGTGAAATGCAGTCTCAAATGATCAAGACCGTAAGCTGTAAGCAACTATGACATGCTCAAAAGAATGATGTTGTAAATCGTTATTGTACAAAATGAATGTATATGAACAAGGAAAATCCTATATTTTCCTAAATGTGAAATGCAGTCTCAAATTACCAAGATCGTAACCTGTAAGCAATTATGACATGCTAAAAAGAAGATGCATAGTTTTATTGTTAAGTAAAACTAGTTGTGGAAGTGTTTATCTTGAGTTTTTGATTATGCTGATAATACCCTAGAATATAGTTAGTACCCCCCAAGCATGATTGAGTTATGTATTACTACGTGCTTGAGTCATTGTTTACGCGTGTTGTGAGTTCCTCATAACCATACTAGACGCAATACCTATGTTGACATTTGTCACCCTAATGTCGGACTGTAGCTAACAGTCAGGGTGCGGAGTTGTCAGCCCCGTATAGATCTATACACACTTGTCATGCTCTCCCTTAAAGAGACTCTGGTTATTGGTGGGGACTTTCGTTTGGTACAAACAAAGCCATATGACACCACATGATTGCTAACAACGAGTTCACGAGTAATATGATGAAAAATCATTTGTATGAAATGATTTCCTTTTCTACCGTGTTACAAAGACGTGATGATGAGTTGAGTTTTCTTGTAAAAGCATCATTTTATAGTTGAAATGGTTACCCTTGATATGATGTAGTATGCAAACGTATAAATAAAACATATTTCTATTTATAAAACATATTGTATCCCAAGAGGGTAAAGTTGTGTTGTGAGGTATTTTGCATGATAATAACTTCATAAGATAGTTAAAACAATAGTATGAAAAGTATAGCAAAAGATCGATGTTTCACACGATTTTGGTCGTGTGTTTACTTGTATCCCCCCCTTAAAAGTGTATAAAAGCATTCACAAAACATTTGAAAACGTAGTTATAGGGGTATGAACTCACCTGATTGATTGAAGAAAGCGAGATGAAAATCGAGTAGAACTTCAACTCGGAAAAGTTGATTTTCTCAGGAATCTCGGGAATGCAAAACCTTCCTTCGGGACTTGAAGGTGAAAACCGGGGCTTTGGGAGGGTCTCGGGGGCTTAAACGCAGAGTTTCGGCGCGAGAAAGAAGGGAACTGAGCAATGAAACTCGGAGCCCTTGAAATCTATTTATAGGGGCATTTCTGGTGTGCCACATCATGGCTAAGGCTGGCCACGTCGTGGGGAGCAAGTCTTATCCTCTTCCATTGATTGGACGCCCTCAGTCACTTGCCAGGTCGCGGCAAAACTGTGCCACGTTGTGGCAAACCTGACAGCCTCGAATTTCGGGCCTCGAACTTGTAAAATCCGTAACTTTCGCATACGAGCTCCGTTTTCGACGTTCGTTATATGCACGCGTAGCTGAAAATATGCTCTACAACTCTCGTTTAGACTTCATCAGCTAATTTTGACTGTATTTTTAATTATTTATTTTTAACGGGCCGGGACACGAAAATTCCGTTAAAAATCCATAACTTCTTCATCTGATGTCCGTTTTCGTCAGACTTTTCATCGTTGCACTACTATTGTTGAGATCTTCGATTATCATTTAGGTTGTTTTGGCCAAAAGTCTCTCGATCTCTATTTCGAGTTTTTAGCTGTCTACTGCTATATCTGAATGTTGGAAAAATCATAACTTCTTCATACGAAGTCAGATTTGGACGTTCTTTTTATGTACGCTCGCGGTTTAATGTTATCTACAACTTTCATTTAGATATTTAAGGCTAAAAACTATTGTATTGAAACTTCGCGTTTTTCGTTTAATCGGTGTTGCTGGTTTTGTCGGGAATTTTAGAATGGTTATAACTTCTTCGTTATAACTCGGATTTTTGTGTTCTTTATTTGTATGAAAACCTTGTAACGATTACTACCACTTGATTTAACCCAACTAAGATTTTAGTAAAGTTATATTTTGACCTAAATTTGACTGATTTTACATTACATTGTCTCTAAATATTGTGTTGTCACATTAAATAACCCTTGATTCTCTGACATACCATTACCAACCACTG